CGGCAGAGCAGGCGCCAAAGCGCGCAACGTACATGCGCGCATGGCACTGACAAAAAAACCCTAAACCCTAAACCCTAAACCCTAAACCCTAAACCCTAAACCCTAAACCCTAAACCCCGAACCCCATGTGAGCCCCTAAATCCTCGACTGCGCACCCCAAAAGACCTCACAGGCAGCGGAGCTCCACATGGTCTTCGTCAACGAGAGAGTTGTGCCGGAGGTACCATATATATATATATATATATACGTATGTATATATATATATATAAATACACATATGTATATAAATATCTATCACTGTTCTTTTGTCATTCTGTTTATTATCATTGTGATTATTGCTACTATTTTTGTGGTTCTTACGATGCTTATTATGATCACCAAAGGGTTTCTGTGCGGATTCTACGGTTCAGGATGCTTCAAGGCCTTCAGGGGCTTGTGATTTGCTTCAGAGATTTCGCCATTGAGGTCAGGGTTTTTTCAGGCTTTCGTTGCTGCGAGTTGCGGTTTCGGGTTTAGGGTTTTGGGTTTAGGGTGTCGGGTTTAGGGTAGCGCACTCATGCAGGGCTATCAAATCTGGCAGTCTTGGGGGAGCTTCAGACTCTGCACATTCAACCCTTATCCCCAAAAAAAATATAAATATATATATATATGTATATTGAAGGTAAACCCTCCTAAACTAAAAGCTCTAAACTCTAAACCCTCAACCTTAACCCCGAAACTCTAAACCCTACACCCCAAAAACCCTAAACCGTAAACTCTTAACCTTAAACCCTAACCCCTGAACCTTAAACCCCAAACCCTGAAACCCTCCCCCAAGCCCGAAACTCTAATGAACCCTACACCCTAAACCCTAAAAACTGATAACTAACAACCTTAAACCCCAAAACCCTAAAAGCTCTAAACCCTAAACCCTAAGCCCTAAACCCTAAACCTTAAACCCTAAACCCTAAACCCTAAACCCTTTAAAGAATAGAACCCCAAACCCTAAACCCTAAGCCCTGAACCCACCAGGACCGGAGCGACCCAGACAGCGGCACCCTTCTGACTGTGCTGGGCACCATGGTGGAGGGCGGCGCCTCTCAGGCGTTTCCGGGCTTCGGAACGGGAGTTTAGGGTGTAGAGTTTAGGGTTTAGGGTAGTTTA